AGACCCATGTTATGGTAACATCAAGCTGTTATGAAGTTCTAGCACATGCATTTTCTGCAGTTTCACTTAACACATAAAATTGGGTTTTTATGACACACGAGGATTAAGATTCCAGGAAAGACTCAAATTGGTTAGCATAACTTGATGGACAGGGATTAGGAATTTGCTCCATGCATTGGGGGCTGTACAAATAATGTCATGGTTCTACCTTGGTACCCAGCGTGACTATTGCAACCTCTCTTACATCACCACATGGACAGTCTATACTCTCACCATTCTTATTGAGAGAGACAGAAAGACACAGAGAGACAAAGAGAGAGAATGGAGAGAGAGAAAACGTTACTAACTCAAATCTGAAGTCTTTCTTCTTTGAAAAGATGTATATGGCTGATTTTCTGGGGATCTAAGATTACTAAGAAACCCTCAGTGCTGGGCAAGCTTGGTATTAAACCAGGGATTGGCACTGTGAACATGTAGCTGACTCTTCCCTGTTCTGAGCCAGCTGGAGTGATGGAGACAGCCTTCAATGGCTCTGCTCCCCTGGCATGAGTTCATCCACAAAAGTGGCTGGTCTGCCCGTGCATAAAGGGAAGTTGACTGCACAAACACCCTCATATCCAAAGTAATTTATTTCCCTCAGTTCCAGTATTCCCTTTTATCATTTAATCTCTAAGAACATTACTTTTAAAAACAGGAACAAATTTAAAGAACCTGCTTCACTTTTGTTAGAAAAGAGAAAGTAAAAACCAATCAATCAGATAAGTAAAAAACAATCAAGCACTGTGATCCAGCCACCCTCTACTGTCAGAATGGTTTAAAGACAGACATGAATAAATTTTAACGCCAATTTATGCTCTGTTAAAGAGTAAATTTTTCCCACAATGTAATCGAAACAGACGTTCACAAATCATAAAGTTTCTGCAGTTTAACAAGTTACAGTTGATCTTCATTAATTAATAAATTAACTAATAAATTAACTAATAACTAATAATCTTCATTAACTAATAGTAGCCTGCCTTGACTGTAATGTAAATCACTCAACCTTAAAAGAACTGAAAGAAAACCATTTTAGGTTTAACTGAGGACACTACACAGGAGTTACTGTGGCTCTGCTATTCCAGTGAGCTGTTTGAGTAATGAAGCCATCACTTACAAACTTCTGTTCTTGACTGCAGAAGATCAAGGTGCAGAGATGATGGCTAAAGGGATTATTATGACTAACTAGTCACACCCTCTGTACAAGGACAACAAAATTGCTCTCCATAGTTCCTCCATCAATCCTCAATTCATGTCTGAGCTATAGCATAATTTTTAGATAAACAATTTGAATTCATATTCACTTTCACTGCTAAATGTGTCTGAATCTATTTGCCACTCAGCATTTAAACTTTGAAAGCCTTTAGTTTGTCCCTTTACTGAAGAGATGTCTAATTGAAAGGGGTCTTCTCTCCACTCACATCCCTGAATATCAGTTAATATCTGACCTAAGCTTTCCAAGATTTTGATCAAATTGATATGAGATGTTGATAAGAGAGTCTAGGCCCCAAATATCTAGGGCTGTAAGAGACAGAATGAAAAGTAGATTGGAAATATTGAGAAAATCATATGACATATATTATATAGGGTTTTAAGAGGAGCTGACAAGGAAAAATAGAGGTACTCACCACTCATTTTTACAATTAGCAGTTTAATATACATGTCATTCCATAACAGACTGCATGACATATAAATAGACTGAACTCTAGTGACAAATATACTGGTAAGTATAATTCTAGGGTTTTTTTCTAAATATATAAATGAAAAAACTAGATATGCAAGACTTTGAAGAAAAATACAAACATACTTCATTCTATATAAATATTTGTTTTCTGAAAACATCAATAAAATCAGTTATAGAATATATAGAGAAAACATTTCATTACTTCGGTCTCCTCAATAAGGAAAGAAGGTCTGGGTCTGTAAAAGATGCTTAATGCAGCCAAAGAAGCTGTTTATACTAATGTCCAAAATAAATCCAGCTTTGTCTTGTTATTTAAAGTATATAAACATATCAACATTTGGGAAATTTCATCAATGAAAACTGAACTTCAGTTATTTAATTTAAAAAACCAAACTCTCTCTATCAAGGTTTAAGCAAATACTGAAGTCTACCTCTCCTGTTCTTGCTTCATTCGTATTCTCTCCTCTTCTGAAGTAAGAGCTTCCTGCACTTTTATTTTACCAGTTTTCTCACTCTTGTCATCTTTGCGATGTTTGCCAAACCTGTTAATAACACACAAAAAAAGAATCTAACTTGTGAAATGAACAAAACTGTATTTTCCTTTTCCTATGACAAAGAGAGTTCTCCAAGAAGGGCTGCTTGGAAACCAGGAAGGGTAAGTGCAAAGACCTCAGAATCTCAATCTTTAATATTTTCTGGCTGCTTTGGGTTTATTTTGTGTAGGGTGGGGTTTTTTTGGTTTTTTTGGGTTTTTTTAATTTATTTTTATTTCACTTTTCTTAAAATTTTATAGAAGTCCTCACTTAAGAACAGAAAAAACCCAAAACATAGGATTACATTCCTTTTTTTCTGTCAGGATTTTGGGGTCACTATTCTTAAATACACAGTCAAACAATGTTTTAGAAGTTACTTAACACTATCACTGCCAAAGAACACAACTCAAGTTCACATTAAGTGAAGGCTTCATATACGAACTGCAAGAGACACAGAGCTGTATGTCTGACATCAGCCCAGAGCGCAGTACCACCCTCCACCCCCACCCCACAAGAACAGTTTCATCACAGAGTGGACGACATCCAAGAATGTAAATTCATTCTTTTTCAGCACCAAGTTCTTTAAAAACTTTATTACTCCTGACTCTTTTCTGCCCAGGGTATTCCAGTGCAAAGAGGGCGAGGGGAACAATGGAGCTAGCTGGGGTCTCCCAGACAGAGCAGGATCCTGCCAACCCAGTGTTTGCGCTCTTCATGTCTCCTCTTCCCCTCTATCAGCTACATTTCAAATATTTTAGGTTTGTTCCATATTTGCACATTCCACTGTTTTCTTTTAAACTTTCAGTTTGGCATTTCAGATACTCAGTTATTATTAGGACAGTATTGCAGTGTTTCTTAGACATTTCAGGCCTACTGTGAAAGGAATGACTTTTGTATGGCTCAAACTAAACAAACACTTAAATACAGCCCTTAAATGCATCTACAGTTCAGATGACGATTTTCTATTTAAGGCAAAGTATCTATTAAACAGTATCTTATTATAATACCTACCTATTAAAAGTGGGATCATCTATCATACCAAAAGCAGCAAGAATTTTACTCTTTTTAATCAGACACTCAGGTAATAGCAGACTGACAGTTGTGGCACTTCATGCTCAGGTTCACATCAAAAGGGAAGTGAAAGCACTGAAACGTGTGAAGTCCAACAATAGTGCAGACAGGACAACCCAAATGCTCACAAACAGTAAAATAAACCACAGAGTTCTTAAAAACTTTCTTCTGACCCAAGAATGTAAACTGTTTAAAATATTTAGAGTCCACTAGGCATTTATAATATTTTCCCATTTGTTCCTATTGATTCTAGTACAAAGCCACTGTGTAGGTTAAAGACATACCACACAGTAACCCTGCAGAATGATTAACTTCTGGCCACTCAGCCAGAAGATATTATTATACTTCATAACTATGTTTATGGCTCTTAGGACAACTGTTTAAAAGCACAACCACACAAAAATATAGCATAGGAGCATGTACACAAACTTAAAAGTGTGTGGCTGTTCTCCACAGTTCCCAGATTGCTGATTTCCAAAGTAATTCAGGCATCTGATAACTAAAACTGTTCATTAATAATCATCTGAAAAGGGAGAGGCAGAGGACATGATAGGGTTAAGAAGCACACAATGGCACATAAAGTTAAAAGTATCTAATTTTATAATTTGTTACATATAAAACTGACATACTTAAAATGAATGACTAGAAACATCAGCATGTATCTTTTAAAACATCTAGCTATTTATTAGAGTAGTCAAAACCATTATCAAAACATTTACATATATGACATGAGAGATTTAAATCAAGTTCTGGATGCTGTACCCCAGACAAGAGAATGGTTAATTTAAAATAGCCCTAAATCCTCTAGCCAAGAGAAGAGGTTTGGCAGAAAAACAGTGGAACTGGGCCATTTTACCCTGAAACACAGAGAGTGCCAGGGGTGGCAAGGGTCTGACTGATGGAACATGTAGAGCCATGAGGAGACACGCAACATATGTGGTACTGTAGCACAGCATCTCTGGGATGCCCATCTGTGCTTCTGTCTCCTGTCCTTCCTTGACACACTCAAAATGCAAGGCAAAGCAAAGGAACCAAATTCTGGAGTAGCCAGTTTATTTTTCAAAAAAGAACTAATGGTTAAAATATCAGGGGGAAAAAAAAAAAAGAAATGAAATGAGTACCTGTTAGGTTTTGGCAGCAAAACAGAATTTCTACCACCATAAATCAATTCATTGCAAGTATGAACAGAAATATATTGAAATCAATACCTTATTAAAAAAAAAAAAGGTACACAGGAAATTTCTAATAATCCTTGTAAGCAATCTAGTAAATTAGTAAATGTCTGGTCAGGCTGCATGATTGTGGGGAAAGTGTTTCCAAAGTTAACATGTAATGCAAACCTAGCAAAAATAAATGGTTTGAGTTTTCAGATCCAACCACCCAAGTCCAGAACACACCACGCTTGTACTGCATTTCAACACAGGCACTGGTAGGTTTACCACACAGACAGCGCTCGGAGCAGCAGGAGGGTTCAATTTGCTCTGACTCATGAGCAGGATGTGGCAACAACCCTTCTTCTCCTTCAGGTTTTTCTTCTGATCACCTGGGAATGAACGTTCCTTCTGCCCTCAGGGACCATCCTGATCAAATCTCCAGAAGACATCTCTGGTCCTTCCCCAGGCATTTCAAAGGGTGGCCATACTGTTCCCACTCTGACCGGAGACTTTCCAGTGCCCATCTCCAACAAGCTCTGCGGTCATCCTGGCAGTGGACAGCCTGGCAGAGTATGAACCACGGTGGTCTTGCAAAGTTGCCTTCTCTGGACTTTGTCACCCACAGAAGTGATATATCTGCCATAATCACCACTGCCTGTAACAAGTTCAGCAACATTAACTGCACTGTCCCTACACTTCAACCCAGAATAATCAATGCTGTCCTCCCCCCTCCCTGATTGAGGCTTTGTGTTTTTAACACCATCACCTTCAAAATAACATCTCCGTGATATTCATAAGTCATGGAGCTGCAGAACAGCACGCTGCCCTAAAGAAGTTTGGCTCTGAACAAGTCTGCATACTTTTAGCAAGACCTCTGTACAAAAAAATATTTACGAAATCAAGATTTCTCTTTTCCACCAAGATTGCAAGTCTAACAGCATCTCTGTTAAGCTTCAGCTTACAACAGTAGAAGTGACATACCAACAAACGAAAAACATTTTCCAGGCCCCATGAAGCACTTGAGAAAGGTGTTTAAAAGAACCCCAATGGTGATATATATGTACACCTCACCCGCAACACCCTCTTTATTTCTGTAGGACCAGTCAACACTCCCCACTCAAAACATCGCTCAAAGGTTTTGGTAAGATTACTCTTGCTAACAATGAGTATATTTGATATTTATTTTGATTAACAGTATCTGCTCCATGAAGGATGATTTACAGTCATAATGAAACCCAACAGTCCAAATCAGCATCCTCTCCACCAAATTTATAAGACATTTATAAATTATTTAACATTCATATTCAAGCCAAGTTTAATTACAAAAGAGCAACATCCAGCAATACTAAGGTACACCATTAAAGCGAGCTGTTAACACTCCCTCAACTGTACTGCAATGCCTACGCTGGTGTCAAGCTATTCAAAATCACAAGCCTTTCTAATTTCCTCAGGTAGATATTTCCTACTCTGCTTCAGGAATATTAAGTAAAACAGGACACTTAGAAATAAAAATAAGAATATTCAGACCACTGAAATTCTAACAGTCTATGCAATATCCTTTCAAAATATCAAATGCACATCCCACAGCCAGTGGTAAAGACACCTCCCTGCTGCCGTCCAGTGTCCCTTGTATAGTCATGTGAGTCAAAAGAAGCAGAGTGTGGGTCAGGTCCCGAGAATTACTACCAGTATTTAAAACACCCCAATTTGAATGCATTGGCCCAGTGAAAAGGTCTGGCTTACCTTCATAAAAGTTTCATGTTCTTAAATATGCAAATAGCATAGACTTGCCCCATGAACATTCATGTGTGTGACACCTTCCCCAACAACCCACCAGAATCTGCGTAATTGTAAAGCTTATTTCTTTACCGCTCAGGTACTCAAAAGGAAGGGAAGATGGAATTAGGACGTATGTCCCATGCATGACCCATGGCAACTTTGGAATCTTGCTGCTTCCAGTACTGTTTCTTCCATAATGCATACATTGAATGTTCTGGCACACCCACATAATAACTTCCCCTGCTGAAGTGACTGCTCGTTTAATGATAACAACCTCAGGCTGGAAACTCCCAGTGCAATTGTTAACGATATCTGCCTTGTAAAATAGCAATCACCATCCATTTGTCCTGTGTCAGAGACACTCTAGACTTTTGCAAGGACACGGCCTTGAGGATACTGCCAAGTGATTTGATCTCAGCCCTTGCTGCTCACTTCACAGATGCAGGAGCCGTTCTCCACTGTGTGCAGCTGGTTAGCGAGTGCCTGAAGCACCTGGAGATTTTCAGGTACTTGTCTGAACCTGTGATGGTATCATTCTCGTTGCTGTGAGGCTGGCTGCTGGATACTTGTTGCAGTTCTTACAAATGCAAATGAAATGACAACTTTCCTTCTGAAGCAGACAAGAGAACTTCATGGCTCAGGATCTGTGCACAGCAATGCTCCTTGCATTAGTGAAAAGGAGAACAGCAGTTTAAAACAAAGGTAAAGACTACTGTTGGAATTAAAAATCAAAACAGTGCAGAAAAGGAGCATCTGTGACACTGATGTTCAGATAATCCTGGGAATCTAATTCCAAGCTCCTGTCATTTGCTAAATTCAGTGCTAACAGTTTGACTGTAAGCTATAAAAGCCCTACCTAAATCAGCGCACAAGATACCAATGCACAGATACAAACTACTGCATGATGTGTAACAAAATTACATGCACTACTGCCTCATCAGGTTAACATTTTTATGATGAAAAGAGTTCCGATGTTAAAACTTGAGCTACTCCAGACACTGTAAA